ATTTTAAATTGATTTATATAAAAAAAGTTCTTTTGAAAAAAATGTTAGTTTGGGCCCTTTCTACTGCAAAGCCCTCATATATACTATAATTTATTATTAATGTAAAATAGACAAAACGTAACTATATCGAATATTTTTTCTCTAATAAACTTGCACCAGTAATTATACCTTATTTTTATAGATCATTGATATATGATATCGTTAGCGATAAGTTAAATGGCCAAATAATTTGTCATTTAGGCTTTGACTAGTCATTTGTATTTAGTTCATTTACCATTGTTATTTCATGTACAGTATAATAAATCTTTAATGCTCTTAGATCTTATGTAATTTCATTAATCAGAGAGATCATGTGAAGATTTATAAGAAAACAGAATACTGTATAAATATAAATATAAGATTTTATTTTTGACGGATACATTATATGATATATTATATGATATATATCGTTATGATAACTATTTCATATTATAATTGTGATAAGAATTTAATTATTTCTCCCATTGAAAATTTATTATCAAATTATCATAAAATCTAACTCCTTCGACACTCTCATCTTTACAGATAAGACCCTTTTCTTCAACCATCTGTAAACAATATATATACTTATAATGAAGCTGTTTTTTTAAAACAAAGATAATAACGAGTAGATCTCAACAAACCTGCAATTGTTCATTTATCAAGAAAACGCTCATTTTGTCCAGTGAAGCCAACTCAATAGCGGTTAATGGTCCCTTAGTTTTTATATGTTGCAAAATACGTTGAGCGATTTGTTCGTCGCTATGAGTCAGTAAACATATGTAGTTTGATAATACGTGCAAATAAATTAAGTTAAAAAAAAAAAAAAAAATACAGTAAAAATAAAAGTTGGTTCATATTAAAGGATATCTGATTCAACGACCATCAAGCCACTAGAAAATTTTCTTAATCGCATTGGTAAATTTAAATGTTCAAATTGAGAACATGCTTTATATAGATCTTCAGGAGATATCAACGCTATGAGAAAACAAAACATGGTATTTAACATATGAAGAAAATTAATTGGGTTGGAAAGGAAAAAAAAAAAACTTACCAACCCCTCGCGCTCGGTTAAAAAGACAATAAATATCTGTCAATGACATCATGCCATTTTCATTTTCCAGCAAGTTATCCAGGAACTCGGCAAGTTGACGTGCTAGTTCTTTGTGGTATGTAGATCCAGCAGAATCTCTGTAACAATAAAAAGAACATGTTAACATGATTTATCAACCAATTCCAAAATAGGTGCATTATCGAAACTACAGTAACTAGTTACAACTTAATTATAGTGATTTCGATCACACATCAAGAACAAGATTTCATAAACCTACTTTGTTACAGGATTTGGTATTCCTAATTCGATTAAATATGTTCTGAAAGCGGATGTTTCGTCTGTTGAAGTTTCTGAATCTAGTTCCTTGCTCAATTTATTCCTGATAGATTCTGCAAGTTTAACCTAAATATATCAGAAAATTCAGCTTAATTAATATAATGAGGTCATTATTTAAAACAAAATCATAATAAATGATATTAACCATTTCAGAAGTTTTCTCCATTAGACCATCCAAATCTTTAAAAGCCTGATTCAACGTTTCCTTCTGTTCCTTTTGACTTTGTTCTGCGTTACGAATTATACCCACTATGTATTTGCGAAAATTAGAATGAATCAAAAATGTTAAATATTATCTGTCAACAGCTGCTGATGCTTAAATTTGAACCTATTTTAAATAAGAAATTATATATATAATTTTTAGGAGCACATTTTCATAGACTTTTTTTTTTTTAAAGGACAAAAGAGTATAAGTGGATTTTAGGTGTTTATATTTCAAAGAGACACAAATTTCAGCATCAGCATAATATTGTCTAATATATGAGTGCTGCCAAGGGAAAAAGGCCGTTCGAACTTTCAATTATATTTTGTATACAGTTAGTCGTCTATGGAAAATTTATCATAATGATAAATTTTCCATAGACGGTTAACCGTATACAAAATATAATTGGAAGTCTGAACTGCCTTTTTCCATTGGCAGTATTCATATTAAATAAAAACTATAACATACCAAGCCCTCCAAGTCCTGGATCAAAATCTGACGTCACTTTTATACTTGGCGTTTCTTGTGCTTTCTAAATTCAAAATATTACTTAATATCGTAATAAAATGAAAATCCTCCATTATACTATGAAACCATAAAAATCGTACCTCCCATTCCTTGGCTGCCATCACCGATTTCAATTTTTCATAAAAAGCATTTGAACCACCATCTCGAAATGCCAATCTCACAAAATTATTGTCCTTGGCAGATTTAAAATTTTTTGAAGCCTCGAGATCATTTTCAAAGTCCAAATTACTAACATCAAATGTTCTCAAATCGGCTTCACACATCTCGCACTTGATCATGCTCGGATGGTTCAAAAATGTGCAAACCTTACAAGCAATTCCAATATCATCAGTTGGGATATTGGGAGATGGTGAGCGTTGTAGTTGATCAACAGAATCCTCAAAATCAGATCTAACATTTAAAGTTGAGGCATTTAAAGCTGATGAGGCAGTACGTTTAACACCACATAATCGGCATTTAATGTCTTGAGGATCTCTATTTATGAATGAGCAAATAGAACATATCCATGATGATGATGTTGGTGGTAAGGTGTTTTGTAAATTAGTGACAGAAGAAAATGGAGAACTATGATATAGCTGGTTATCAGAATGAGAATAGGGAGAGGTCGTATCCGAGAATCGTAAAGTGATCTTTGGTGAAGACTTAACAAAGCCTATCTATCTATTCCAGATCAAATAATTGAAAAATAAATACGAGCTCATCTAATAATAACTTTAATATAAAAGTTCACGTTTCACCACTTGCCAAATCCTTACATAAAATTCCCTTCCTTTGATAAATTTTATTTCAACCGCGATTGAATTGGTGGCCGGGTTTTGGGAATCCACATAAATAATTCTGTGTGAAGTTAGGTACACTGTTCCTTTCATATAATCAGCTGCCTTTTCGTTGCTGTCAAATTAAAATTTTAGTGAATAGTTGAAAAAAAAAAAAAAAAGAAAAAAACTAGTATACGAACCCATCATAAAGTCCTACATTATCTTGTGTTGCTAAAACAGTTTCATTATTCAGTAATACGGGACGAAATGTCGAATTTAATTCTGCTCTCGTAAATCGGTTCATAATAGACAACTTAAAATTTTAACAAATTAGGGTATTTATACGATTCTTATTCTGTATATGGTAGCAGAACCTGGTCACCCGATACAAATCACGAGTCATGTCGGAAAGCCTCGAAAAGATGGTGTACAGTCGTTGAAAGTTTCGATACATTACAGTATTTAATATTGGTCAACCACCTAACTTTATTTTTAATGGCAAGCAACATTAAATTCATAGCATTCACACACGGAACAAAAATTTATAACCACATAATTTCTGGAATATTCACAACCATTATTTCCAATAATTTAAATTATTAGATTTTAAATTAAAAACATCAATCTATCTCTGTATTAGTTTTAAAAGGTACATTTAAAGGATCAATGGCAACACCCATTTTCGTGACAACTCTAGGTGTTATCATTTTTTGAAATACTTCATTAGTGTTCCATTCTTTGCCTATCGGAGTACGTAAACTACGTTCATATTGTTCTCTGGTCTCGAATGGATATGGAATATCAGTAGAAAGATATTTCTTTGCCTAAATTTAATATTAATATTTTAAAATAATGAATAAATATTCCGAAATTTCCGAAATTGCTTTATCGAAATAAATACCTTTTTAATCCTTTTTTCATTAATTATTACATGCATTAATTTTGCATCTTGGCGTTTTTTAGCATCAATACCTTCACCTGGTAACGGTTTGGCTATTATTTTTTTCTTGTTTTTCGGTGGTTTAACTCCTTTACCACCCCACGTTCCCTAAAAAAATGATTTTCACTTTTATTATTAACATGAACAAAAATGGATTTAAAAAAAAAAAAGAATATAAATCAAAGTTAAACCTTACCCAACCGGGTAGTGTTATGTCTTTCTCTTTAGGCATATCTTCATCAATAATGGCTTGTTTTTCTGACTCAAATTCCTATTCAAAAAATAAATAAATAAATATTTATAATTTTTTTTTTTAAAATATATATATATATATATTTTATATGAAGATGCATTGGCTTACTTCGACTACATTATCATTAGCAAAAGCACGAGCCACTAATTCTCTTTGCGTAAACGCAGTGGGATTCTTTACGTTTACGAAATTTTTTATTGCCTCAGCGTTAGCATCATTGTCGTTATCAGATTCAACATTAACGTTTTCGATGGTTGAGTTATCGGTTGCTGCTGTCTTTACTTCTTTTTTCGTATTATCTTAAAAAAAATAAAATTTAGAAATTATTCTGTAAATTAAAAGAAAATATACATTATAATTACCGGCAACTTGAACGGTTATAATTTTATTCATGTCTATTTCGACATCTTCTTTCATCTGCATCCCACGTTTCTGTTTATTGAGTTTTGAGGCTAATTTGTCATGCTTATTGCTATTTTTGATATTAATACTTTTATTAGCTTTTTTACTGGAGGTCGCTAGCTTAGAGGTGTCATGTTGAAGCCAAGGGTTTATTTCCTCAGAATCGTTTTGTTGCGATTCATCCTGCGGAATTACTGAATCATTATTATATCCTGGCTCCGAAAACAATGATGCCTCAGAATCTTTTTTTTGATCAAAAGTCGACTTTGGCAACTAAAAATATATAAAAATAAATTTTAATTGCAAATTGCATTTTAGTAAAAATTTGATCATATAACAGATTGTTAAATACCGTTGTGATATCTGGTCCTTGATTAAATGACACTCTAGCGTTAGACGAATCATCAGAACGCGCTCCTTTTTCCTATTGAATTAATATACAAAGTTCTTTACAAAGTCTTATTGTAGTTTATTAAAAGGCATTTATTTACCTTAGTTCCAACACCAAATATCATTCTTCCAAGATTATTATCTACATTTTTTATTGAATCCTTTGCTGCATCATTATTTTTTTTTGTCTGTTTATTTTTATCCTTTTCATCAACATCATCATCGCTAAAGTCATTATTTTCCAAATCTTCTATAAAGTCGTCTATTAACTGTTGTGTCGCTTTTTTCTCTCGCTTCATAGCATCTTGCATGAATTTCATGCCCATAATACCCTTCACAGGTTCTTCATCAGCCGAATCTTTAAGCTGGTATTGCGCCAACTCGTCAAATGCCTTTTCTTTTATGACGCTTTCATCCTCTTCATCATTAGATTCACTTGAAACATCATCCAATTCTTCATCAGAACCAAGGTCATGAATTTTACGTTTCAAATCTTCATGCTGCTGTAATTGTTCAATAATTGCTTGACGACTTTCTGAATCATGTCGACCATGTTTAAGCGCTTGTTTAGCCCATTTACTGGTATTTTTGTGCTTTAAAGTCATACGCTCTTTCGCTCGAGCAGTTTCTAATTTCATTCGTTCTTCTTGAGCCAAATTTTGATCAGATTCAGTTAATTGATCAAGTTTTAATTTTTCCTTTTCTTTCTCTTTCTTTCTAATTTTACGATAAGTTTTACTTTTTATCTTTGCGATTCTTTTAGCTTTAATCTCTTCACGAAACATTAATTCACGTATACGACGAAGTTCTCTACGCCGAGCAGCAACTTCATCAACAGATAATTTATTTAATTGAATATCTTCATATTTTTGAATATCCTTTTCTTTCATCCCACTTTTTAATAATATAGAATCAACTTCTTTCTCAAGTGTTGTTGAAGGCTTGAAAAACGAAAATATATTATATTAGATAAAAAAAAGCTACTTTTTTTTTAAAAAAAAATAAAATAAATAATATAGATATATATATTTATACCTCGAATGTGCCAGTCAAAACACCAATTGTTGGTGTATGTTCAGGAATTTGATTCATTGGGAATTTCAAATGATCGGACTCACGATTCTGCCGAACAATTGGTTCCCATTTACTAATATCTTTCTTAGTTTCTTCATAAGCAACTTGTCTATTCAATTTATTCTGAATATTTTGAGGTAAAGGGGCTGGTAAAGGTTCTTTATAAGTTCCTTTATTACCGCCACTTTCAAGCGATGCTAATTTTTGTTTTAATCCGCTAAATCCAGCCTCCTCTTGAACTGTGCCTATTAGATCGTGGAAATTAACTTTTTTTTTGCCAGTTGAAGATTCTCTAGTTGTTAAATTATATTCAGATTCTTCATAAGCTTCTGTACGTTCTTTGATCTGCTTTTTATGTTTTTCTATAGGATTATCATTATCGACTCGTTTTCTTTTTTTGTCCAATGAGGAAATGAAAGAAATTAAATTTTCTGCTTGGGAATCATCATTAGATACGGTATCATCTTCAGAGACGATATCATCTTCAGAGACGATATCATCTTCAGAGACGATATCATCTTCAGGGACGATGGTTTTCTTCATTTCACGGAATGTATCAAAAAAAGCACGCAGAAAGTAGGGATATAGTGCGTTATGAAATAACGATAATCAATAATTTGGATCTACCCGTGATAATTTACCAATCAACTTGCATAATTTTAAAAAATTCATCACTTTAAGGTGAACGATTTCCATTTTTAGTAGTAATCACTTGACAAATATATTTTTTTTTCGGTGTTAATCTATTTAAGTGGTCCGCCCGGGTTCTACACTAGCCGCCATACCTGCAATCTGACTAGGAGATTATCTATTTAAGCTCTCTGGTTTTTTTACAAACAAAAGTACAACTAGCTATATATACAACTTTTGGTTGCCTATTTAATCTATTTAAGTACATCAGGAAATTTTTAAATTGGTTGGTAATCGATTGACAGATGGAAATATCAATCGATAAGCAGCACCCCTGTCGATTGCCAGCAATACAGATTAAAATCGATTGGCTGATTAACAGTCACAGGACATGTCCTTTTACAGGGGTTCCAAATGTTGATCATATGATAATTTAGATGTCGATCATTCAATTTTATATAGAAATTTTACCCCCCGCGAAACGTTTTTCATATGACAACCCCAAATTTGTGAAATAATTCGACTATTGCTTTTTAAATCAAAAGTGTAGATCAAATGTTGTTCTATTAAATTACAAAGCTTCGATTCTTAATCTTTTCTAGTTTAGCTATAATCTTCGTTTGAATTTGGA